TTTTAAAAGAAGTATGGGCTCGGATTTTAAGTATTATTTTCAAAGTCCTGTCAAAACTTGTAAGTACCAATACTGATACATCTTCACATGGAAATTATACAATAGGCCTGGTTTATTGGCTTCATAATAAAGAAACAGATTTATTCTACACATAAGACAGGGACAGTGAAATTGCTCAGAGTGTAAAGATGCTTGATACCAAGTGTGCTTGATACTTGGAAGGATCATAGTGAAAGGAAAAGACCAACTCTGCACACAATGCACATAATGGTGTGTGTGTGTGTGTGTGTGTGTGTGTGTGTGTGTGTGTGTGTGTGTAGGGAAAAAGATTAAAACAAGTAAATGTGAAAATAAGGGGAAGTTTAAATGAAGAAAACAGTTCTCTCGGGTCTAAGAAATTTGTTCTTCCTCCTACTCACTCATGGACCAGTGAAAAGGACCCATGACCCATGACCCATGTGTCCAGTGTCAGTTTGTCTTGCTGTCACTATGTCCAGAGTCACCTGAAATGGTATATGGTGTTGTTACAATCACTAGATCTAGACTGTAGGCGATCCTTGAAGACAGCACTGCTCTAGCTTCAGAGCTGGATTTGCCATCCATCTCTCTATTCCTGACTACTGCTTGTCAGGAAACTGTTCTCTCTATACCCATGGGCTTAGATGGTGGGACAGAGAATGTCAGCCCCTGATCAGACAAGAGACAATCTCTCCATGGAAAGCTTTCCCAGCTTGTTAAAGGGGCTGGCCACCAGAACCATGGCCAGGAGAAAAGCCTGATTAACTGTTTAGCTCCTAGACAGATGACTTATCATCTTGACCAAGACCCAAAGTAGCTAGATTGTGGTCCCTCCAAGCTCTTGGATATTGGGTGTCAGAATGAGAAAGAAAAGCTGAGTGGTACTCAGTAGTCCCTTTAACCACTGATTTACTGAGTAGACAGGCTTGACCAATTTATCAGTCATTGGACAGTTCATCACCGGTGACTGTTGCATGGCCAACTGCCTGGCATCAGACAGCCCAGTGTCTCCCACTACATTCTGTCTATACACACACTTAACTAGTCACCAAGATAACTCTCACTCCTTTATCTTGCCGCTCTAATCTAATAAAAGTCTCAAATTGGTCCACAAGGATCTGCTAGATGGCCAGTTAAAATCTGAAATGTTCAACACACACGAAATACAGGTTTATCGGAGAAAAGTGAGTTGAGTGGGCAACAACAGGCCGTTACATGACAGTGACAGCAACTGGCTAGCTGCAGTGGCTCCCTCTTTGTTCAGATACTCACCCCACTTCACCTTTAAGCTCACCCCCATTTTCTCATCTTTGTTCCTCACTTCCCCATGGATGAGTTTTCTTTCTTCACTCCTGTTAAGTCTAACCATCCCCTCATTTCAGTGACTTCAGCATGAAGCCCACTCAGAGAGCAGGGAAGTGAACTCCACAGATGAGAGAACATGGTGTCTCAGCCATCTGACAACCTACCACATAGCCATCCTATGCAGATGGCCTTCCCTGTCCTTCCTGGGGAACACGAACAAGTTTAGAACTTGGTTCCAGCTGGTTCCAGCTACTGGGAGGCCCCACAGGTCAGGAGGCCATTCCAGAGTCTGCAAAGGCCAGGGTTCATACCTCCATTTTCTCAGATTTCTTCTCAAGGCCAGTAGATACATTTTCATGGCCCCAGCTCCCACCAGACAACCTTACAAAGGGACTTCTGTAAAAATATAACTAATAGGTAAAGGACAGGGCAAACAAGGAACATGAGGGTACACCAACAAGACAACAGCAGGAAGATGAATTGGATCAGGAGCAATGCTTGCCATCACAAATCTGTTTAGGTTACATTGTTTGCCTCATTTGCAAATGCAGAACAACTGTGGATAATGGGAAAGCCATCACATGGCATAAATGAGCGAACTGAAAACGTTAATGGATAAACAGCCACAAGCACTAATTGCTCATTAAGCAGAAAAATGTTTATTTCTATCAAATTGAATACAAATCAATCTTCAGGCAAGATAACAAAAAAAATCAATTAATACAATGAATAGTTAGGATAGCATATACAGAACACACTCAGATACTTTGAATTAAGCATATATGCCCAAATCAAGAACACCAACTGTCACACTGAAGAAAAGCAGACCTGTGGCTCCTTGAAAACTTAAGTCACCATATTCTAGAGGCCAGTGAACCAAAAAGCATGTCACACTGGGTTAGAAGACTGCCTTGAACTTTGGGGGATCACAGTGAAATGCTATGGTAGCTCAATATATTTATTCCCCCAGAGACCTATTCATCTCAAAAACAAGTTTATCAATAAATTCAGTAGTACAAATTCTCATAAAACTAGAAAAGCCTTGAGCCCTAAAATTGTCTGCACTTTACAAAGACCAAGTTTTCCATTCATTCCCTTTTCCCTAAACCTAGAGGTGACGATCCTTCCAAAGGTTTTAAACAAGAACATTTTACTGAAAGACACTGCTTCCTATAGTTGCCTGTCACTATAGTGTTCACATGAATGTCATACGTGAACCTTTGCCATCTGGGCAATGGCTTAGCCTTTGTCCTTCACACCCAACCACATACAGAATGGCCACACCAAGGAGCGCCGAGGTACAGGTGAGATGGCATTTATTCTGGCAAGAATTGTGCAGTTTGCCACACCAAAAATAAGAGGTGGCATTTATGATTAACTTTCATGTTTTAATAGATGTAGGTTTTCTTCATATGGCTTCATGGCTTCTTGATACCTGGAATTGAGGTAATCAGCCTGGGTCTAAACCCAGCCTGCCTCAAAGCCTTGTATTTAGAGGACTCTTCCAGCAACTTCCTTTGCTTAAGTAAAGAGTAAAGTCTCAGGCAGCCACTCTAATGATGTCTGCCACTCTTCCTGAGCCCACATGCAGACCTAAGCAGGCTCATGGCCCTGGGTTGCTTAGGGCGACAGACAACTAACACCCAATAAAAGGCCACTGTTTCCAAAGCAGGAAAATCTGGGACTGAGTCATTGCTGCACTGTTTACTTGTATCAAGAGCCTGGGCAAGACTACATGACTCCTTGTTTCTAGAAGACTGGTTCTGTCTACCTCATGGGGAGCGAGGAAGATTCACCAAGATGCTTGCAGAGAGTACACCATTCACTCAGGCCTCCTTCATAGCACCTTTTTGTCATAATACTGAAGGAACGAGCATGCAGTTTTCCAAGCTCTAAGCAAGAGGATTGTGGGAAGCAAACTGAAGGAAGGGCCGGGTGGATCCTGAGAATTAAGGTCAAACTGGACTCAAGACACCACCCAGACTCTTGGCTCCCATCTGAAGGGTAGGCATGCATGGCATGGGAAAGAAAAGATGTTTCTTTCACCTTTGTCAAGAGATTTCAGTATTAATGCGCTTTCTACAAAATCATTCAAAAGAGAACAGGTGTGTCTGGTGCAAAAGACCAGATTTTTTTAGGTCAAGGAACAAGAAAATCAGCAAAGACCTTGGAAATAAGCCTTCTGCCCCTTGCTGGTCTCACCAGCAGACACTCCTGACCCCTTTGTCCCAGTGCTAGCTACCATAGTCTACGGAGCTTGAAATGCAAAGAGAAAAAGGCGAAGAAACAACATGCACAGGCAGGAACATCTCTACAGGAGGTGAAGAAAGAAGTTGGAAGGTAACCCCCCCTTGAGTTACCCCAAATTCCTTTAGCTCTCTACTTCCCTTGGTTTGTGGGAATAATCTCAGGCTGATCTTCCTCTAAACTATATAGCTTCCCACCCTGGGCTTTATCTGTTTGACCTAGCCCCTACACCAAAAGCAAGCTTTCAAAAGTAGTCAGTCAGCATCATCGTGACAATGACTGATGGTGGCAGGCCTGAGCCAGACATGTATGTATGTCCACTTCAGAAGCTTACCAGGTGAACGATCTGACTTCTCTGTATTGAGAGCATAAGGACTGGTGCTGGTCTGCATTTCCACTAAGGCAGCCAAAGAACATGCTCATGGAAGGACAAGGCAAGGAACCACAAGAGTCTAGGCAATACAGTAAGGAAGACAGACTCATTAGCACACAGGATACATGGCAATGAATGGACTGGGGATTCACAGGACACCTTCAGAATGTTGATCACATGTTTCGATACCACTAAAGTGCTAGGTCCACCCCACACCCTGACCCCACATAGACTATGAGTAGTCACACTAAAAACCACCACCAGTAATAAAGGACGCTCCCTGGGGACAGGCAGGTGCAGGGCACCTTTTTAAGGCAGCGGGAAGAAATTCATTCTTCCAGAGAAGAGTAAGAATTATACAAGGTGGCCAACAAGTCTGGAACCAGGGAAGTCTTTTAACAAATGCTTTATTGACACATGATGATTGACAAAATATTAGCATCTTCATTTCTGAACTTTATGGCCACCTATAGACTGCATCTTTGGAATAGGAAGAAAACAAAAACATTCTGCGTTCCCTTAATGGTAAAGCTGTCTTACTCAGTGTAGGTGCAATATACATCTAGTGCAAGATGCTCCAAGCCCACAGACTTGTTCCCTTTACTGACTTCTTACCACCTGCTTGAACCACTCACAGAAAGAAGTTAAACACTGTCAGCAGTAATATTTAGCAGCATGTTCAATACTCGCCTTGAGCAAAAGAAGCCTAACCCATCTCATTGGTCCAGTGATTCCCATACGATCACTACTTCTATGCAGAAGATTGGATCATCCCACGTGTCTTTTATGTGAACATACCCCTGTCTTTTGAGATCTCCCAGAGACAGAAGGTAGAGAGAGATGTGGAAACCACTGTGTTACTGAGTAGCAAGCAGATGAGAGAAGACACAGAAACTAGCATGTCTAAGATGGGAGGGAGAAATAATCACCGAGTGCAATTAGCATCAATTCAATTGTCGTCAAGAGGGTATGGCGGGGGACAAGCTGGAACCACAGCCCTTCAAGTTCTCAGGCTGACAGTAGTGTGGTTCAATAGCCTGTGGAAGGTGGTGTGGGCCAGGGATTCCGCTGCCACCACATGCAAAAAGGCTACGATGGCAGCACATGGCTGTCAACCCATTGAGAGTGAAGGCTCAACGCTGGTGGAAATCCAGTCTGTCCTTGCTTTCACACCTGCAGAGCTACATACAGCTTCTTTTCAAAGGCAGGATGAGCATTTCTTCCTCATGAGTTCTTTCTACCCACTAGATTTTCCTCATTACTTCATCATTTTAACTAGAAAAGATGCTGCAAGCTATCTCTGCTAGCTTCTAATTTGGCCAGGGCACCAGGATGACACACGCATGATTGAGTGAACGATCATGTCCTCTTGGTTCTTCCGACGGTAACAGGCTCAGTATGCTTCTTTGGATTGAATAGGTGTGATCTTGTTTGAGAAAAGTGTGTAAACATAAGGCCATATTTTGTTAGTCTCTGTCCCAGAGACCTGGTAGAGGATCCCGCGCCTCCTGAAAGACAATCCAGATAAACATCATTTAGATTGTTTAACATCACAGGACAGGCAAAGATCCAAGTGAGTTAAAGCAGGTGCCATCCCCTGGTCTGCTTATAGTTTTACAGCCAGCCCTAAGTCAACTTGAATCACTTATTTACATGTCAAAATATCTGAGGCCATTTTTAATTATATAATTATATAACTTTATAATATTACATTTAATATTGGGGGGGGGCTCAGATGGAACATCTGCATAGCATAACACCTCAACGGCAACTACCAAAACCTATCTAACACCCCACACACACACACCTGGGTTTGAGTCCTCATGTTCTAAGAGTTTCTGAATAAACAAGCTGGACCTTACCTCCCCTATACCACTCCACCAACCCACCCACCTTCTGGGAGGTGTGGGCCTTCAGACATGTCTAACTAGAAGCAGCAATACCTAGCCCAGCCTAGTATTTCTCCCATCAGGCCCCTACCTACGGTCTGGCGAACACACACACTCACTTGTATAGCTCGATGACTGGTTTCCCTGCATCCTTGTACTGTCGTAGCTTGGCAGCAACGGCTTCAGGCTTATCATCTTCCTGTTGGACAAGTGGCTCACCAGTGACGTCATCAGCCCCCTAAAACATCAGAGGAACCAGTTAGCATGGCCAACCACTGGGCATTCCCAACTTTCTTATTATACAATAACCACGTGAGCAAAGTGAACTCCAACCACAGCGCACCAAGCCCGGGGCTTCCCCGTGCTGACCTCATGTCCTGAGAAGGGCAATAGATCTTCCGTAACTATTCACATCTTTATAAGCATATCCCCGTGCTACAGCCAAATGGGACTCCCTAAACAACACACCTACACAATGTCATGCTGGTACCACTAATATCCCCCCCACACACACACACAACTGCTTTGTTTTCTAAATTCTGACTTCTTGTGGGAAACAAATTAACTTCAAGAATTGAACTGGGGAGCTAGCAAGCTCACAGGCGAAGGGCTCTCGCTGCCAAATCTGATGATTCTGGACCCACGAAGTAGGAGGCTCCTGCAAATTAACCATAACCCACGACACTTGTGCCATGAACATCCATAATAAAGGCACAAACATTTTAAAATTTAAAAACTGGCTCCATGCATGATGTCCCTAAGGCATATCAAAATAGGCAGGATTCAAATGCCCCAGACCAGAGACAAGCACTCTAAGAAATGAGAAATTTAAATGTATAAGAATTTCAGTGGCTCTGGTTGCACATGCCTTTAATGCCAGCAAAGGAAGAGGCAGGAGGACCTATCTGTCTATGAGTTCAAGGCTAAACCTTATCTACACAGTTAGTTCCAGACCAACCAACAAATTTCCAATTCAGTACTTTGAGTCCTATAGGAAGTACAGCGCAGCAGTAGTATCAGGCCAATACTCTCTGGGGAAAGCTGCAGAGTGAATCTGTCAAAAACAGGCTGGGGAGGAACTACAAGGCTCAGGCAACACAAACCAACCATTAGAAGATGCCCATGTATTAAAATCCTGCTGCCGCTAGGGGTATACAATTTAGAGTGATGACTCAGGACAAGACACATCATTATCACAGGTGGTGTCAGCAAGGCAGAAGAGGAGAGGCCGAAATCTATAATGGCCACAACACTTAGAACTCATTTGAGACACCTGGGCAGTAATGTCACTCTATCATGGGGACACACCAGTGGCTGGTGGAACTAGCCATTCACTTCCACAGCTGAATCTGGAAAAAGCATTGATTGGTTGTGCTTAGGTTCTTTCTGGTAGAGTTGGGCTTTTGGAAAGTAACATGCTAGCTAGCAAGTAAAGCTTTTCAGATATTGGAAGAATTGATGAACTCCTAACCAGGCCAGGACAGGAGCCTTTGAGACAGGCTTCTGTTTTCCTGTCTGTGTTCTCAACCTCCTTTCGTTCTCCCATTTTGTTTTGCTGTCACCATATCTTGGGTTACACTTCAGTGACACACTGTCCACCCAGCCCCTCAGAAGGTTAGGACCCATCTGGTCAACACAATGAAACTGGGTCTATAAAATGAATGAAGACTGAATGTGCAAACCAATTAGCTAGTATGGTGAACAACCAAAAAAAAGGTAGGAGAAAACTAATGTTTATCACAAATGAACTGGCATCAATTAAGGACATTATTGGCACAGTGGCAACCAGTAGTGGTGATACCACTGTAGCTTTTTACTGCTTCCATATATCAGGCTTTTTTTCTGTGTAAAGTTTTGATACTGTGTTACCTATTCCAGTCCAGAAATAACTTTAATCAGTCATTATCAGGGAGTCAGAGAAAAATTAACAGAAAGATAATCACAAGTAGTATGAACCAGGCATGGTGTGCACACCCATAATCTCTCATGCATTTGAAAGACCAAGGCTAGAAAACTTAGAGGCAGGCTATGCTACCTATGGAGAGGGGTTTAATCAGGAAGCAGAGGTATACCTCTGTGGTATGGTTCTTGGTAAATGTACACAAGGCTCAGGGATTCTGATCCCCAACACTGATGGGCAAAATTTACCAATTCTGTAACCTAAAACTTGCAGATACTGTCCAGTTTATTTAAACAATCCTTTAGATGAACATTCCTTCTTATTTGCTTTTGGCCAGCCCAGTCTACAGAGGTAGTTCCAGGACAGGTTCCAAAGCAATACAGAGGAAACCCTATCTCGAAAAACAAACCAAAAAATAAGAAAAATGCCAACTTTCCCAGGTCACCAGCAACGCTTGTCTTGGCAAGTCCTACCTGTCCCCTCTGACTTCTACAGAATTTAGCGTCTTGGCCATTCTTTTTCCCCTGAACAGTGTACTCATGACCCCTATTCCAGCACTCGGTGTATCTTACCAGCACTTGAGGTGGATTGAAGTCCAAGTTATAGACCCTCCCGCTAGAAGGGTGAATCCATCGTCGGCTCAGACGGTCTTTGAGTGTCTCAAAAGGAATATTCAAACTGATCACTAGATCCAAATCACAGATTCTGTCCAAGGCTTCTGCCTGTACTAATGTCCTCGGAAAGCCTAAAGGTCGAAACAAAAATCAATTGCAAAATACTATCCACTGAGTGGGGAATAAGAAAACCTACATAATCCAAAAGGAGTTAACAAAGCATTTAACTGCCTCTGTAAATACGCCCTTGACAGCCCAGCTTACATGGTCTAAGCACATCATGTGACCATGGCCTTTCATTGCCAGCTCTCATGCTTGGTCCAGGAGTCACAGGATTGAAAGTAGACTGCACTGAACTGAAAACCACTAGCCCAGCCAAGGCTAAGAGCTTTGCCTTAACCACCCCCATATGCCGTTGAGCAAGCTGTACTTCTTCCTCCGTCTTCTGCTACAGACAGAGTAGACTCCTATCTGGGGCCTTTTAGCTTACACTCTGTGTTATTTATTCTCAGGTTACCACAAGCAACAGTAGGCACAGCCTTGAAATCAATAGATGCCTTTACCCAGATATTCACCTGTACTTTATGTACCTAACAATTCCATACATGTGAAAAATGTGCCTGGAAAATGGTAGCAAACTCTCATGATTCCATCATTCTGGAGGCTACACAAAGAGTTGTGAATTCCAGGCCAGCTTGTGAAAAAATAAGTGAGATCCTGTCTCAAAAAGAAAAAAAAAATTACCCAAAATACCTAAGCCTGACTGAATGTGGTGGAAGAAACCTTTTATCCCAACACTGGGGCTTTTGAGGCTAGTGTGGTATACATAGCAAGTTCCAGACACTATCATTAGTTAAGCCTGATTTCATAAGTAACTAGTCCTTGTTTTTGGTTATTGCAAGTTACAGGTCGGTCCACTTCTTTAAATGTTTAAAAAAAAAAAAAGCCCAAAATAAAAATCAGGGAGGACTGCCTTGCCTTTTAGTTCATGCCCAAACATTACAGAAACTCAATGGTTAGAAGTGACAGGCCATGAACAGACTCGCCAGGACAGTATCCTAGACCAAAGGCCTAGAAAATAGCCTCCTGGGCTACTGTCACAGGCATTGGAGAACAGGCTGTTACTTTGATTAGATGTAAATCACACGTTCTTGAAATGTGCCATTTAACTACTTTCAAGATTTTGAAATATGACTCTTAGCTTTCTTTCTATTCAGCTTTTTAGGGTTTAGGACTGGAAAAAGAGTATAGACTAGGGTCTTAAGCCCTGAATTCCAAGGGTGGTAGGTGGTGTATTCTACAAACTGGTCTATGGCTCTGTCTCAAGCTGATCTGAGCACATCAAGTTATTTAAGTGTAACTCTACCATCACAGCAGCCAAGAACACAGGAGAGCATGGTGAACCAGGCTCTTGAACCACTGGTAGCAATGTAGTTTTGAAATTTTTGAAATCAACATGTTGACAGTATGAAGACCTATCAATCAAGAATGTCTGTGTGAATGAGTTATTCTTTAGACGGTGGAAAAAGGTTAAGAACTGGACGCATTTTGTTTCTCTGACCTAAGTTAGCATTTGATATGTATCGATTCAAACTCCCTTCTAAAGATTTACCCTTGGAGACTCAAGTTCTTGGAACAATGAGTGTATCTGTTAGGATATTGGCTTTGTGAAAAGAAGCAAGTGAAATTCCAAGTTAAAATACAATCCATTAAAATCTTTGAATAGAAAAATCCATATCAGCCAGGTGGTGGTGGCACATGCCTTTAATCCTAGCACTTGGAAGTCAGAGGTAGGTGGATCACCAGGACGAAGACTGTTACACAGAGAAACCCTATCTCAAAAAACCTAGAGAGTGTAAGAGTAGCCATTTCTGGGGTGTGGAGAGCAACTTAACAAGAGGGATGCTGTATTCTGGAATCAAAACCCAGAACTTGCATTTGTACATGCATTACACATACAAAGGGGGGTTCGGGATGGGGGAGATAGGAAGGAGGAGAAAGGGGAAGGAGGGAAAGACAGACAAGACAGAATACTGATCTGACTGGACAGGCTACTACTCACAATGGTGACCCCAGAGACAGTGCCATCCCAGTGGGGTACTTACCCCACTAAACTTGGTTGCTGACAGATCCTAAAGAGACCTAGTTAATGCCTACTTCTGCCACACCCAGAACACAGAGAGATGCCACCTGGGCAGGGATGCTGAAAGTGGATGCGATGTGTGTGCATGCTTGGTCAACAGGTGGCAGCATTAACAACTTCTCCATGAACAGAGAATTACAACTGGGCAGGGAAGTTGTCCCTGTAAAGAACATTTGGGAGGAGCTGAGGCAGGAGAGCAGCTTGACTTTCTGACCAGTTTGACCCAGACTCAGTTAACAGAGAAAGGGAGAATACTTGCCAATGGGTGTTTGGTTGGAGGTACGCTAGCTGCCTAGGGCATGGCTAAAGGTCTCAGCAAAAAAAAAAAAAAAAAAAAAAAAAAGTGCTTGCCTCTCTCCCTTACAGAGAACTGTCTCCTTCCCTGTCCAGCCACTCTGGGTAGAAAGCTCCAAGTCCCTCATCGCACCACTAACCATAACACCAACAGGTTTGTCTCTGAGTTCCTCAAAAGATTTGTGCAACAGTGAGAAGTAGCTAAGTCTCTTCTGGCCAATGGGCTTTGGTACCTGGTCCTCCCAATCATGCCACAGGCCTGGGGGAGGGGGCAGCTAGAGCAGAATGCCACAGCAACAGCAGAGGAGGGTTCATGTTTTCCTAACTAGGCACACAGTCACAGGGAGGTGCAGGACCACTGCCTGGTAGAAATAACCTGACAGTTCTGCAAGGCCAACATCTGCCTAGATCAGCTGAACCTTGTGGAAAGTCTCTCCCCAACCTATCAAGTCTATGGTTACTTCTGACCATCCCAACTGTAGGCTGAACATCCTTCCCCCAAGGGAAGATGCCCATGAGTGGAAGCAGAAGCTCCCATCTGCAAAACCTTGTACAAAGGCTCCTCTGTTTAAGAACCCTCTCTCTGTTCTCTGTGCACAGACAAGTTGGGGGGAAACTGGTCCCACCGTATACAAAGGGACAAGTTATTTTTACCACAAGACCATTCATTACTGCACTCAGGAAATAGCTGGTAAACATCCCATGAGGGCTCAGCCACTGGTTGCAGGTGAGGTCTTTCTGAAATGAACATAAGGTTCGGAAGTCTTTGCCTTATAAAGTATTTCTGTAAATGCTGACGATCTGTCTATGATCAGACACTGGCAGTGTGAGCCTACACTGCGGATCAAAGAACTAAGAAACCAAATATGCAAATAAACATGATGCCATGTGATTCTCACAAAGAGTGAACCAGACGTGGTGACAATCCTATAATCCTAGCACTCAGGAGGTAGAAGCAAGAAGATTAGGAGTTCAAAGTCATTCTTGGCTATCCAAAGCCAACCCAGCCTACATGAAACCGAGGAAAAATATAATACAAGTGGTGATTGATATTAATAACAATAACACATGCCAATGATTTCATTATGTCCAGAACCTTAAGCACTCCATGCTTGTGGGCCAAGTGTATTTTTGAATGGTGGCACGTGTACTTGGAGAGGCAGAGACAAGCAGATCTGTTGATCTACAAATCAAGTCCTAGGACAGCCAGGGCTGTTACAGAGAAACACTGTCTCAAACAAGCTTCTAACCAGTATTTATTTATAAAACCTTTATGAATGAGAAATAGTTCAAAAGTAGCTTGATGGTATCATGGTTACCAGGTTACCAAAGTAACACACAAAAATCTGATTGTTATGATTTGCATTAAGGTTCCCTAATGGTCCCCAACTGGCAGTTTTTTGCGGGAGGTTATGGAACTTTAAGGAGGGGGTCCCTTGCTGGAAGTTATGTCACCAGTGAGGGTAGCGCTTTGAGAGATTTAGAGCCTTCTCTTTCCTGTGCCCCTTGTATGCAAGTTGAATGTATGAAAGATGATCAGCCGGTTTTCTGCTTTTGCGGATCATATCATGCCTTCCTATGGGATGGGATGGGATGGGATCTATCCATTCAGACCATAAGTCTTTCTTCCCTAAGTTGCTACTGATTATGGCATCTTACCACAGCAAGATCACTTGGGAAATAATTGGGTACACAGGAAGGCAAGGGTTTCTCTGTGTTGCTCTGGAGCCTGTCCTGGATGGAACTTTGTAGACCAGACTGGTTTTGAACCAACCCGCCTCTGCCTGTTTGGTTTTTTTAAGATATGGCTTCACTACATACATAACCCTGGATGGACTGTATGACATCAAACTCAGATCTGCCTGAGAGAGATTATAGCACACCTATAGGTCAGAGGACAACTTTTCAGAACTGGCTCTCTCTAGCCAACTGTGGGTTCCAGGAGTCACACTGAGGCCCTCAGGCTTTGAGTGACAAGCACTTTCACCAATGGAGCCATCTCACCAGCCATAATCCCTCCTTAAATCTTTTTCCTTTCTCCTTCACTATCACCAGCAGAATCAGCTACACTTGACTTCTTTAGAAAAATACACAGGAGGACATACTGCCTCAAAGTGGAGGCTACAGTCCATTTTCCAACAGAAACTCCTCAGTAACCTTCTAAACAGATCTACCACATCCAGAATCACACACTATCACACTATCACAAGGGCAACAGGAAAAACTGCTCTAGGCATTCGCTAAAAGATGTGATGAAACAAATGTATTGCTCATTCCCCGTAGACAGCTGCTGCCCAGCAGGAAATGGTACTCTTCAGAGGTCAGCCTCACAAAGGAAAATACAGAGAAGAGGTCAAAGCCGGCTAATCTGCTAAAAACAACTCTGCAAAGACGGAACACAACCCTCAGCCCCAGGACCCCTGCTCCACTTTCTCTAAATGCATCTCCTTCGAAGGCCCAAGTCAGTAGGCAGGCATGCTGATCTCACGTCTGAGATCACTCTCCAGGAAGAAATGCAGGCATGGCAGAGCAGAAAATGAATTCATAAAATTTCCTTCAGGAAGAACCATTGAGTTCGGTCCTGTTCACAATGAAATACAGCCCGCTTAATACAGTTCCCGCTTCTTAAAAATACAGCCCAGTTAGATACAATTCCCACCAAGGCCCATTTGTAACTGATTGCAAAATAATCTGGCAACAGAAAAAGTTTCTGAGTTCAAAAGTCGAGCTATGTGTGATCTCATTGCTGCCTTGCACTAGCCATTATACTCAAGGCCAGCACCTGAATGAAACATAATGAGCTACGGTCAGCCTAAGCTACAGGGTTAGGGCAAAGATTGTTCTTACCATAATGGTACTGTTCGTGGTTTGATGACTCATGAGGCAGAGGCAGGAGGCTCTCTAGGGAGTCCTGATCTATGGAGTCCTAGGCTAGCCAATGCTACACAGTCCCTGCCCCCAAAATAAACCAACAAAATGTAATCATTATCATACCTGTCTTATTACCATGTCTATATTCCTTTTTTTAGACGTTTACATTCATTTATTTATTTGGGAGGAGTGGGCAGGAAAGAGTGGTCCTGTGATGGTCAGAGGACAACTTACAGAACTTAGTTTTGTTTCCCCAGCATTAGGCCCAAAGGGTCAAACTCAAGTAGTTAGCCTTGGGATCAAGCACCATAACCTGATGAGCACTCTAGAAAGCTTTGTATACCTATTATTTTCCAAATTGCAAGAGTGCTTTCCATGAAAACAAATGCTATAATTAATTAGGATGAGTTGGGCACATCCCCCAAAGGTTCACATTCTGAGATGTAGTAACCAGTGAGACAACGCGTGTAAGATCATACGACTTTTCAGAGGTACAGCCTAATGGGAAGGTAGGGGTGTGTCCACTCCTTGGAAGTAACTACTATGGTTCTTGAGGATGCCAGTCAATCCCCATAAGACTTGTGCAGCATCAAGGAGCATGGCACCCTACCAACTCTGGCTTCCTTACATCATGCACCTCTCCTTGTGCGTGTGCTCTTACTGAGGTGCAATCAATCATGACATGTTGCAGTAGAGACTGTCCTCACTAAGCAGGCAGGCAGAGATAATCTCGCCACACTTCCATTTGCTGCCTTTGCTTCATGTCTGCTGTTGATGGTGTGATCCCTCTGCTTCCTGCTCCGTCCGGCTCCCATTATGGACTCTGGAGCCCTAGCATAATAAAAATTAAGTCGTCCTTCCACAAACTGCTTTTGGTAATGGTATCTCATCACAGCAACAGAAGAGTAACTAATATACATGCCCCACACACAACTTCAAACTAAACAAAACTTTTTCTTCACCGGTTACTCATCTATTGGTGAGAGCTGACCAATGCACCAAATAAAAATCTTTTGAAAACCAACCATGGCAGCTCATATCTGTAATCCCAGCATTTGGGAGGCTACAGAGGGGTTTACCGGGAGTTTGAAGTCATCTGAGCTACACAGTGCAGCTCTACTTCAAAGCACAAAATGGGTGCTTCTTTTCCAAACGCTCAGAAGGTAGAAAGGTCTGTACATTTTAACAAGGATGGTGCTGGCCAGGCAGAACACACTCCATCCCCCACCGACTTGGTGTTCCCTTGGCTTGAGTCCACTGAACTGATTTCCACCCACGGTTAGCAGAATGCCTCTCCAAAGCCATATGGACCAAGATGATGAATCATCTGTCATCCAGAATTCCTTCTAAGACAGGCCTCTACACATTCAATCACCTTTAGCACGCTCAACGAGCTTGCCCTCTGCGAAGCACAATCATGTTCCTTACAACATAAGGGGCCTAAAGTAGAACATGGGGACCAGGCAAGCCTTACACCCACACTATGCCAAATGGACAGCTTCCAGGGCTTTGAAGAAAAATCAAAACTGAAAATGGCCAGATGGGTTTTCAGGAAGATGAAAACTAACCCAGTTGGGAGACTGACGCACTTCACTAAAAACAGGCCAGTGATGTAAAAGGTCTAACTATTCTCTGAGACAAAAGCAAGTAGGAAACAAGCCATATGTGCTGCAAGGCTCATTTTTAAAGTTTCTCTCCCCCGCCCCACCCCCACCAAAGGGGTTCTGTCTTTGAACCTGAGATCCACCTGCCTCTGCCTCCCAGGACTAGGATTAAAAGCATGTGCCACCACCATCACCAGCTGAAAGCCCTGTACATAAGATCTTCATGGCATTTACTTAAATGTTACATTCCTAAGCATTTTGCACCCAGTCATTCATCTCATCCTTAAACTCTTTCTTAATCCATCTTCCACAATGAATCAAATGCACAGAAAACTATGGTGGCCTGGCCCAAGGTTACACTCTCCCAAGGAGAAGAGGTAAGTTAAGAACCAATACCCATTAGCGGCCTCTTGAGAGGAATAGAGAGATATGATCACTAAAAGTAGACAAGGCCTTATGATTAAAGAACTTTAAAGAAATTATTGACAGGGATTGGCAAAGCTAGAGTTTACCACCCCCCCAAAAAAATTTTTTTTGGGGGGGAAACAGGTATAGGACTGCAAGCCTATAATGCCACTGCTGGGGGTAAATGTCATCCAGCTGTGAGCCCAAGCCATGAGACTATCCCAACTGATGCAATAGTGGCATGCCTGTAATAGGGATAGTAACCAACTGCTTTCCAGTTGGGTGTGAGGTTCAATCTATAGGAAGGAATTCACAGCAGGGAAGAGACTGCTGCTGTTTTGCTAAGTGGCCATGATACATCCTGCCTGTCAAGCTGACTTCTAAATATTTATGTTTTGTGACCACAGATTAGTGCCTCCATCAAGTTCAGTCAAAGAAGCTTCTGTGTGCCATGGGTGGCAGTTAAAGTAGACGCTGTTAACTGTTCAAAGGGCTAAGAATAAGTGCCTGCTTAGTATTCATCCCTTAACAGGGCACCAGTGTTACCAACCTACCTGCACCCATAACCACATCCGCTGAGGCTCAGAAACCACCACAGATACACAGTGTGTGCTGGCTACTTGACTGAGAAACTGTCTCCAAACAGGCTGTAGGCATTTTCTTAATTAGTGATTGCTATGAGAAGGCTCAGTCCATTGTGGGTGGGGCCGCCCCTGGGCTGATGGCCCTGGGTGCTACAGGCTGAATGTGCAAGTAAGTCCATGTCCTCTGCATCAGCTCCTACCTCCAGGTTCCTACCCTGGCTCCCTTCTGTAATGAACTGTGATGGGGAAGTGTAAGCAAATTGCTTTTGGTCATGGTGTTTATTCACAGCAATGGGAACACTAAAACAGGGTGAGAAGCGTAAAAGCAGCCAGACAAACGAGTTGTAGAATGCTGTCTTCTAAGCATGACACGGTTGGCCTTTGCACTTTTGAACTCTGGGTGGTTGTTATTACTTACACGAGACCTGCCTAAAACTGGACCCATTGGCATTCTGTCCTGAAAAAGTTCACAAGGCTCTGCCACTCCCTGAGGACTCACAGGCAGTTAAGTACAGGAGAAAAGGACTTTCTTTGGTGGTACAGTGGCTGGTAAGTTGTCCTGTCTCCTATGACTAAGCCTTCCCCCCACTGCTCCTTAATTAAACTCACTGGGGCACACAAGTACAAAAATAGAATGGGGACTAGTTGGGAAAAGGGAAGATCAGTCTGGGTGGACAACAGATGAAGAGCAAATATGATCAAAACACATTTATATACAAAATACCATCATGAAACTCATACAATTAACATATCAAAAGTATCTGAGTTATCTCTCCTTGGTTATTTGGATCACAGTGACATACAATTTGGAATAACATGCACAAAATCAAAAGGACTTTCTTTTGCTTTTTTTCTTGAAAGTTCAGCAAACACTAGGCTGAGTCATACCCCATTTACTGTACCTACCCTCACACAAATCCATATTTTCTGTATCACATTTTTCTACCTAGGGAACATTCATCTTCTCGCTTATATTTTATGGGTGTGTATGTTTGCTCAAATATTTGCATAAAGTGCCATGTACATGCCTGGTGCTCTGAGAGGTCAGGTTAGTTACTGGATCCCCTAGGCCTGGATTTATAGACTCAAGTGAGCTACCAAGTTTGTGCTGGGAAGCAAGCTCTTGCAGAGACCTGGCATTAACTACTGAGGCCTCTCCAAGCCCCACTTACCTCCAATGCACTAACCTAACCCTTTCTTTCATCCCCTGTGTTCTCCCTCAGACAACCATAAAAACACTTATTTTCTCTTACACTGTTTGTAGCTTTTTTTCCTCTTTTTAAACATTTCTTTACATGGCTTACTCCTTTCTGGAGACAGCTATTAGCATCTTTTTTTTTTAAGGTCTTAAACTATTTACCAAAGGGGAGATCAAATAAACATCCTTAGAGACACATCCCTAGGCAGAAATTAAGAATGGAATGTAATTGGTTATTTTACCCTTTCCTCTTTGTGGGGCTCATGACCCAGCCCCCAAATAAATACATACACAGAGGCTTATTGTTACTTATGAATGCCTGACCTTACTTAGCAGCTCACTTTCTAGCCAGCGTCTCAAATTATCCCATCTATTTTTTTTTTTTTTTTTTTTTTTTTTTTTTGCCTCTGGGTTTTTACCTTTCTCTATTCTATATACCTTTCTTCTTACACAGTCACTGGCAGGGTGGCTGGGCCCTGGTGTCCTCTCCCCCTCCTGCCAGCCCCACCTGTTTCTCTCCTGCCTAGCCACTGGCTGTGCAAAGTAACAGCTTTACAGAGTTAAACATTCCACAGCATAAAGAATAATGCAACGGAATGGTTACATCATAAAAATAAGGCTAATCAGTCAAGAGAAAAACAAGAAACTCAGAGTTGGAATTTGTACAACCCTGGTGAATGAAAACACCTCTTAATTTAGCTCATCATGGACACCACGGAGCTAAGGCAAGGGCTGCATGCTTCCCTCAAATTAAAGCTTTTACGATAATGGTCAGCAGGCAGAAAATTTAGATGCATCACCACACTGGGTTTCCATGGTGTCAAATTATAATATTAATATCGATGACAGCTTTGGGGGAGGGACAACTAATGAACTGTAATGTAAACTGTGGGTTCGATTGATCAAGGGTGCTAAATCCAGCCTGCCCATTACCCACTCACCGTCTAGCAGCCAGTGCTGTGTGCTCCGGGCCTCTAGTTCTGACACCATTAGACGTGTGATCACATGGTCTGGAACCAAAAGACCTTTTTCTAGGTACTGCTTCACCGTGTCACCAACTTCTGTTTAAGAGATGGGGAGAAAAAACACTCAACAAGGCTTTCAAGATAGGTATGTTGGCACAAGCCTATAATCCCAGCCCTCAAGAGGGTCAGAAGTTCAAGGTTTTATCCTTAACTACCAGCAAGATGTAGGCCAACCTATGTGATGTTTCCAAAATTGGGGTGGGGGGAGATAAGTTAATAAATAGGTTCATCATCCATGACATGGTAGCAAAGTTGAATGGAGGTAACTATTATAGTGTTTAATATTAGCTTTTCTTACATTGGGGCACTGTTCAAGAAAAATGGCCCAAGAAGATTAGAATGAGGAGGGAGATTGGAAACACACTGGAGTTAAGCCACCGCCTGGGCTGCAAGACCCCAACAGACAACGGTAACAAGAACAGATGCATGGCACTGCATGCCTTTAATCCCAGCATTTGGGAGGTGGAGGCAGGTGGGTCTCTGAGTTCCAGAGGCTAACCTGGTCTACAGAGTGAGTTCCAGGACAGCCAGAGCTACACAGGAAGACACTGTCTTGAAAAGGGCCCCAAACAGGTATTCATCAAGCAGTGAGGGAAGATGGGAGATGGCTCAGCCATTCTCTGGGAGACACCAGGGAACGTAAACATTCCAATTGGCACTGGGGAGGAGGATGCAGGTAGATCTGAGAATGAGGCTGGTATAGTTCACAAAGCAAAATCCATGCCAGTTAGGGCTACATTTACACCTTGTCTCAAAAAAAAAAAAAAAAAAAAAAACATCAAACAGGTAAGTATGGCTATCCACACCTATTATCCCAACACTAGGCAGGCCAAGATAGAAGGATCAGGGGTTTAATAAGGCTACATTAGAAAGACTGTCTCCCAAAGCTTTAACATGCATCCACACATATATGTTTCTTTTCCTGAGCCTCAATATCTAGTGACAGCACAGTTTGTAATGGTAAAATTGGTGTTATTAATGGACTGCCATACTTCAGGAGAAAAAAACACCCAACAATTTTTTGTATGTAGGAACCGTTATCTTACATAGGACTGGCAGATAAAGGACTGGGTTAAACCTACAATCTCTCTAAGAACTGAACATTTTGTACAAAAGTAAAGTCCTTGCTACCTTGGGTAGCAAGAACAGACTCTAGCAAATTGCCTCTTACCTCCACTCATGCTTTTATTTAGCGCACACATGCACACTAGGGTGGGTGCATGGATGGGCAGACAGACAAGCACAGGTAGGTAGACAAACAGACAAAGTAAGTAGAATATTTAAGAATATTACCAGGAAAGTGCCTGAGACGTATTTTGGCCCCAGGCTTTCCTTAAATTTGTGTAGATCCATTGCTTCCCCAGCTTGAGTCTACATTCTTATCCTCAAGTGAAAAGCAAGCACTCAATCCCCAATTTACAGCAGCTAAAAATGGCAGATCCACAAGTTCTATCCAGGCCCAACTGTTATATCTACAATACAACTGCTACCCAAGAGCCAAAGGGACAGCCTACTGTTAAGATGTGCCTTCCAACATGACAAGGAAGCTATACCCATGAAATCTCAACAACTGGCTTCCTAAACAAGATCTGAACAGTAATTGCCAGTTGATTAACACAGATGGGGAAATCTCTTGGGGCCCCACACAGTTACTGACTGATAATGACAGAGGCAGTCAGCTCTAAAAGCAAATACACACAAGCAACACTAAAATACTCAAATATTTATGTATATTCCCTCATTCTTTCTTTCAAGGAGACAGGCTGTCTCCGGGTAGCCCTGGCCATCCTGTAACACACTACATAAATCAAGCTGGCCTCAAACAGAATTCTGGGATCCACCCATCTCTGCCTCTGTTTTCTCCATGTAGCCTTGGCTGTCCTGGAAATCACCAGGTTGGCCTCAAACTCACATTATATTTTAATTAAAAATATAACACAGGTCCAAGCCAGATATGCCTAACCACAGGGTTAAGGCAAGGAGACTACAAAGAAAACCAACTGCAACCAACACAGTCAAGGCATCTCAAGCCTGGATGTCAGGTAACATGCCAGCAGAAGAACCCAAAAACTCAGCCGTATGCAAGTGTGCACTAAGATTGGTAGGAATGGACACCTGAGACAGCTCAGTAGGTAAAGCTGCCAGGCTTAACCAACTGAGGACCTGAAGATTCATTCCCTAGGGCCAAAATGGTAGAAGAATTGATCCCACAAGCTGTCCTCAGACACACTTCACCATAGCACAAACACACAACTTTTGAAGGAATCACGTTTATTCAACAAGTAGTATTAATTGCAAACTATATGGTGGATTATACAGAGATGAACAGTTCGTTCCAGCTTACTGGTAACAACATGTAACTGGTAACAACAATGACATCATTAGTTGAGCATTTGACACAGTGAAGCACTACTATGCTTCAGGTAGTCACGTGCTCTGCCCTGAAACCCTCGTTAAGGTCCTCACCTCCAGAGATGAGGTGTGGCAGCTTCATCAGCATAATTCACACACCATTTCCCTTTATAACATACCATCCAGTGACTTTTAGTACATTCCTAATGTGGTACAACTGTTGCTAGTGCTGAATTAAGGTTTCTGTTGCGGCTGCTGTTCTTTGCACCTGAACACATCCATAGCCTTATGTCTGAAAGGTGAGCATTCCACCAGTGGTGGACATCCGGCACCAATTCCGAATTTCAAAAACAAGTTTTATTTATTTAACAACCCACTCCCTTCCCTCCCTCCAGCACAGCCTCACTCTGTAATAATTATTTTTTCTAACTTTATTTGCACACACTCACATGCATGCATAGAGGAATCAAGAGTCAGAGAGTAAGGGTGAAGCATAATTAATGACAGGGAAGACAGACTGAGACTTAGTTCAATCCTGCTATCTTGAGTGCTCATAAAAATTGGGTGCATGTAGCCAGGCGGTGGTGGTGCACGCCTTTAATCCCAGCACATGGGAGGCAGGGATAGGTGTATCTCTGTGAATTCAAGACCAGCCTGGTCTACAGAGTGAGTTCCAAAGCTACACTGGGGGGGGGGGGGAATGGTGTGAGTACAAATGGATGAAAACCCTGGCGATTGGAAAAAACTATCCCAAAGGCAAGACTGAGTTCAAGGCCAAGGAGACACTATCAAGGGAGATGAGGAGAAACAGGTGAATGGGGGGTGGGGGGGGGGTAGAGAAATGATAGTGACAAGGCTGGGGAACAATTTCAGTTGGTAGAATGTTTGCTCTCAAGTCCCCGGGTTCTATCCCATTGGGGCCCAGGGCCAAGTGTGATATTGCATGCAGGAACCCCAAGGCTGGCATCACACTACTGTTCTTAGTTTGTGGTTTCAAAACGTAGAGATAGAACATGTTTACAAATAAATACCTGGCTTCCACCAAATAGGATCCCAGAGTCTATACTGCTGACTCATCTCTTGAGCAAAGCCTTTGAAAGTCTTCCCTGCAACACCCTCATGCAACTGACTCTGTGCTGTTGCAGTCTGTAGTACTGCTTCACCCAAGCGATCCTTTCCCAACAGGCTCACCTGAGTCACTTAAAGCCTCACGGAACCACATGCCCAATCATCTGATTTCTTTGTTATTATTTCATGTGTGTTCAGTGTTTTTACTGTACATTATGTTTGTACCTAGTACCCACAGAGATCTCCTGGAGTTACAGTTGTGAGGCATCATGTAATCGGGTTATCTGACTTGCCATCTTTTCAGTGTTAACAGACAATACTGGAGGACATGAGAATAGTCAACGCTCAGTTAGGACCAGGCGGGGTCACCAATTCCCTTCATAGCAAACACTTCCTATTATGCCTCATCAGAATGACTCAACATGTGACCAGGAATTTTTGCTGTGATTTAACAATATCTTGGGATCTCAGACTAAACTGGCCCAGAAGCAAAGGGAGGAAGAGGGGAAAAAAGCATTGGATTTCATCTTGAAACTGTAAATCTCACCTTTCTAACTAAAGATGAACTGGGAAGGAAAATGCTGAATAAGACCCAGTAACCCAGGGGCTGGAGAGATGGCTCTAGGTGCTCTTGCAGAAGAGATAGGTTTGATTCCAGCACCCACAAGTAGCTTACAAAGAACTCAACACCCTCTTCTGGCTCTCTCAGGGACCAAGCACGCAAGTGGTACACACACAAAACACATGCATAAATAAAAAATTAAACTAAAACATAGTTACCTTTAGCCTGCTCTCTACAGGGACCATCCACTCCATGATTATTTCTATTCCAACAGGCTCCTAGACACCCCAAGGTGCTTTCCTTGCTACACAATGGCCGGTGGGGTCCCAGCCCCATGACTTCCAGCCATGAGCTTACTCCAAACAAGTCTGTGGTCTCCAAAGTAACATAGCTCTTTCAAATAGCACATACCTGAAGCTGAATGCTCTACCAGGGAGACTAATTTTAGAGACACTTCAAAATGTTCACACAATCCACTGCCAGAGAGAAAGGAGAAAAACACAGGCGTAGCATTCAGAATTGCCCAGGGCTGCTCTCCAAAGGGTACACAAAGAGAAAGGCATGTTTGCTAGAGTGACTTCCTCCCTTTTTCCTTAAACCAGGGCACCTAAGAGATGATGACTGTGACCCATGCAGTATACACTCCTCGCCCACCAAGGCAGCAACTGAATAAAGCAGCCACTGAAATTAAGTTGTTTTAAAGTCGCTACACTCCAAGGGTATAAACAGATTCCATTGCTGTGCTGCTTAAAATGACAAACAAGTCCCACAGTGGTCCTATGATCTCCACACATGTGCCGTGGCATGTACTTACATGTGCATCCGTGCACAAGTTAGATAAAAATAAACAAATACACCATTTATGCCCATTTTGGTCTTCAGTAAACCTACGAGCAACTACAATTATGTTGTATACATTAACAAAATAAACCTATACTTTGAAAATTATAGCGTAGGCCGTAGTAGTGCACACCTACAATCCTAGCACCTTTGGGAGGCTGAAGCAAAAGATGAATGGGTTCTGGGCCAGTCTGATCTACACAGAAAGAACTTG